CCCCGGCATCAGCATCAAAAGCCTCCACCCGTGGTCTCACCACCTCCTCTCTCATACGATGGGCTTCACCATGGTGGACCCACCGGGTGTAGTCCGGCGTAAATCCATTCTTCACAAGATGTTTACCCATTTCCACCTTGTTTACCCTTCTCCTGTTTCCACATTTGCTTGCGCAGGACACAAAACTAGGCAATGTCCTTTAGCGGCGTTGCCAAATGCAATTATTCAAGAAAGCATCGGTCTTGTTCATCCATTCCGTGGTGTAATCACTCGACTTCTCCAGCCCGTGTACATCCAATCGACGGTCATCCATCCTCTAACATATGTATCATGAGTAATGTAACCATTAATTGCATGTACATGGTGTTCCTCTTGTCTAATAGGTGAGGATAGGTCCTAATCCCACCCATGAGATGTGTAGATGAGGTTAGTTTCCATGCTCTACTCCTATCCGAGAGAATTTTGGAAGACACCTCCCATTGTTCTCCGGATACACGTCCTACCAAAGAAGAGTGTGTATCAGGAGAACAAACAGGGAGGTGATGCCGAAAGTCATCTCGGACTAGAGCAGAACATGGAAACTAACCCATCTACGCATCCGCATGGCTGTCCAAAAAGCGTGGACAATCCGAAATAGATACGGGCCATAGATATGCAAAGATCGCATACCTCCAACCGTATCTCTTTCGAACAGGAGACAGCCCTAAGCGGGTTCTGTGATCTCGACAATGATATAAAAAGAGGGGTTATACCTAGGGTGGCGATGGAGTCAGGCTAAGCGGGGCCGTGGCGGGGTCGGTGCAAGGAGAGACGACGCGGTGAAAAGCAGACCGACACGGTGGCGAGAACTCCGACTCAACTCGACGGGCTCTTCTCTACAAAAATGGAACAAAAATCTGTTATTTACAAAAAATCGTGAACCCTCCCCGCACGGTGAGGTTTCAAAAAACTGCAAAAAACAACAAGCACGATGACCGACAAGCACATATGGCTCAATGAAGCCATGTAGTTTGGATATCAATCCATGTAGAAGAATATATCCAAGTAGTACCTCTACTTGTACTACTACTACCACTACTCTACTACTACTACTACCACTAATTCTACTACTAATACTACCACTAGTTGTACTAATATCGCCACTAGTACAACTAATACTACTACAACTACCACTACCTCCACAATAATAAGTGAGAAGGCATACTGACAGGCTGACGGGGTAAGGCGGCGGCGTCAGGATCGAGTAGATCGGGATGGGGTCGAGCGCGTCCGGATGGCAAAAAGGAACAGTGGCTGAGGCGTGGAGGCGAACGTAGGAAAAAAGGGCATGGCAGGCAGAGAGCTCGCAGGGAAGGGAAAGGGGACAGACACCTGGCCGGGGGCAGTCATCACGCGGCGTGGCAAGGCGGGCGAAGCGGCGAGGGTGCACGTATGGTGATAAATGGGTGTGGGTAATGACACAGTATGCTGGGCGTGAAGTGTGGTATATGTGATGGCGTGGCAGCGTGTGGAGTATATGTGTATGTAATTATGGCGCGGTATGTGTGTGGCTTGGTGTATGGATTAGCCAAGATTATTATAGTGCGTTATGGAAGGGTATGGTGGCGGGCGAAGTCAGCAGAACACAATGATTTGGTGTGTTGGCGGCGCTTGGCAGCGCAAAGGCTAGCAAAAGATTTTTTTTTTGTTTTTAAAGGAAGGATACTTTCGGCAAAAGATTTTTTGTTTTAATTTCTTTAGGATAAAGATTTTTTTTTTTAAATAATTTTGCCGGCGTCTCGGATCTGGCTTTCGGCAAAAAATTTTTTTATTTTAAAAATGCCGAGTGCTCAGGTTTTTTGCAAGATTAAAATTTTTTAATTATTTCTTTGTGATATATCATGTGGAGATGTCCTCGTTTGTAAGCAAAATGACAAAAATTAAAATCATTCTTCTGAGTGCTGATTTTTATCATAGCTTCCACATATGATGCCATGCCCGACATCTCAACAAGTTTCATGATTTTTTTTTTGGCCTCAATTTTTTGTAGAATTTATAAACACTTCACACGCAATTTACAATGACATGTTTTTTTTGTGAAGTTACTTTATTTTCGGATACTTGAATTTCATAAAATTAGAAATTTAACATGACTATCAATTTTTAATCATTAAACTCCATTATTCGTGTTTAATGCAGTATTCAAATTTCTAATTTTCAAGTAACTAAATATAACAAAAATGTTTAAAAAATCTTCAAATTGTAACTAGGAGTTCCCGGTCATTAAACTTGTTCATGATAAAAAATTGGAGGCTAAAAAACAAAAAAAAATTTCTTTGCCGCCGAAAATCACGGCATGGCACTTACAAAGCAGAAGTGTCACGAAAATGCCCCTCGTGCACTATAAGAAAGAATTGTTTTAATTTTTTTAATTTTTTTTGCCGAAAGTGCCTTTGTGAGCACTGCAAAGAAATAATTAAAAAAATTTTAAATCTTTTGCAATTTGGAGCACTGCAAAAGTATTTTAAAAATAAAAATTTTTTTTGCCGGAGCGCCAGATCCGAGACGCCGCAAAGAATTTTAAAAAATAAAAAAATCTTTGCCGAGCGCCAGATCTGGGGCACTCGGCAAAGAAATTAAAAAAAAAATCTTTGCCGAGTGCCTAACCGCAGGCGCTCGGCAAAGAAGGACGTGGCACGGCGCCGTTTCACGGGCAGCCTATGCCGAGTGTATAGATTTTGCCGAGAGTTTGGCGCTCGGCAAAGAAGTCCTTTGCCAAGTGCCTGTGTTTGCCGAGTGCCCGGCGCTCGGCAAAGAAATCTTTGCCGAGTGTAATTCTTTGCCGAGTGTCCGATTTTTGACACTCGACAAAGAAATTTACACTCGGCAAAGTCTCTGTTTCCAGTAGTGTATATTTTGTTAGAAGTGAGCTATATTTTGTTAGAAGTTTTGTGTCAGATAGTTCATGCATGTAGATGTGCTGAAAATTAATCCAAGTTGACAAGGGCAACACACTAGTAATACAAGATACTGCTTGTTCAATGGATGAATCCGTCTTCAAGGCCGCCTGGCTTCAAAACATGCGTAGTCCCAGTACCATAGGCACAATCATGCGCATACGCCATTACCGCACGTAAGAAATATTTTATTTTTTTTCTCTGAGCTAGAATTTGTCAAGGTTATCGCAAATATACATACGTACATACAGGATGCATGTTGAGATGATATTGTGCTATGTTTGTCTACATATACATACATCCAAAATAGACTTCAATTTCTGCACAAATCTGTAAACTTATGCCCTTGTGGTATAGTGACTGCCGCCAATTGTGTCCTTGTGCATCCTGAATTATTCCAGATCATGACGAAATCTTTGGCTCGCATACAAAGTCAGTCCACGAGTCAGCAGTCCACCCTATGGAGACCTAATCATGGTGCTGGACTGCTGGTCACACCTCACATGTATGCATAAAAAAAACTCTCTTTTCCCACGTACGTACATATCTGTAAACATTAATTTTCCATAGGGTATATAGGAGAGCATGTACATACACATATATTCGTCAGTCCAGCTCAAACAAAAAACTTGGCCGTAACAAAAAAACTTGACCGTACCATACAGGAAACTTAGATATTTTATATGACTCAAACGTTGTTGTATAAAAATTGGTATTTTAGCTCTTGAAAGCTAGGTTGGTCCTATATGAGGTTGCAGATGCAGATGATGATGCATGTCGCATGCATGACTTCATGTATCTCTTTTAATTAGCGGGTTATTTCTTAATTGTATATCGTACATCATCTTCAACAAAAGGTTCACACACATGATTATAATTATTTTTTGAACAGTGAACATATTCTAAAACTCCTAAAATATTAAGTAATTAATGGTGGAGAGACAAGCTTTAACCATTTTTTGGTGAATATAAAAGTATCGAATGTTGGGTACAGTGAACAAAGCGAGCGATGACTTCCCGGTTTTGGAACGTGAATATAAAAGTATCGAATGTTGGGTTCAATGAACAAAGCGAGCGACGACTTCCTTTAATTTTGTGCCCGATCACAACCAATTACTGCACAATTCCTTATCTATATCTCTTGTAAAGCTAATCCCCACTGTAACTATAAGTTGTATGTACCTCAACAAGCAAGCTAATCACATTATTTCCTACATTGTCCATATCATCTCCTACTAATAGCAATGTCATTCCCACTAACTTCGGACCTCTTAAAACAAGCTATCCACATCATCCCCACTAAGTGAAATTACTACTTCCAATATATAAGAAATATAGAAGGCATCCATATATTGCTATTTGTTTGGACATACATCGTCTTATGACTCGATCCAATTTTGTTAGTTTTTTTATTGTATTCTTTCATTGCCTTGCCTAATCTTAACAAGACTAGTTTTGTAAGAACATGTAGGTTCAATTCATGCATGCAACTGTTTTATTTTCAAGAACCTCCCACACGAGTGCGTGCAACATGGGTTGTATAATAACTTCCCCGATCAATTGGAAACTTTTCCTATTTTTGGGTCAATGCAATGGTTTGTATATATAATAATGAATTTGCCCCCTCCCCACCGCCACCCACTAGTTTAGCACCTTGTTGTGTGTTGGGCATTGAACACTTGTTCGGATTAGGCTCCGAGTTAGCACATTGAGTTGGAATGAGGTGTCGCCTGCATTGGATGAGATTAGGGACCGCAACAAGTATTCAGCTTAGGAACACAGCTTGGGTTGGGATTAGGGTTCGCTGCTTGGGTTGGGATTATATCTTTTTTTTTGTCTAACCTCTTCCTGGCAAGAACATTTTTCCTCTTGCTGCTTCCATACTTTTCAACACGATAAGAACAGAGACTTATTGTATTATTGTATAATATAATGGTAGGTACACAAGTTCAGGTACATATGCGCGCGTGCACATGCATGCACACTTTGACGTGTTATCGTCAAAATTACTCTCCGATCCCCTACGTGAATGCATGCGACACATCCATACATGCTGCCTCATCATCATGGGCAGAAGGTGACCTGGTAGTTGCTGTTGCCGCTGCAGGCATGGGTCTTGGTGTTGTCGTTGGGAAAGAGGTAGGCGTCGGGGCAGCTGGAGCTGCCACAGTTGAGGGTCACGCCGGTGCTGCAGGAGAATCGCATGGCGAGGTTGTAGCCGTCGATCACCGAGATGTCGTAGAAGTACTGGCTGCCGCCGAGCGTGAACTCGGCCAGCGTCATGGGAGGCTTCCCGGAGAGCGTGCAGGAGAGCGAGCCGGCGCAGTCGCCCGGCCCGTCTGGCAGCTCCCGCTGTTGCCGTTGAAGGAGCAGCCCGTGCGGCCCCACACGCGGCCGGAGCTGGTGCCGGCGGGGACGAACAGGCTCCACGTCTGCCCAGGGTCCAGCCGCCGGCCCCCGCCCACTGGGGTGGCTGCTGGCCACACCGTGAAGCCGCAGTTGTTCCTGATGGTGAAGGTGGAGGCGCTCGCGCAGGCCACAGAGGTGGCGGCAAGGACCAGCAGGAGGATCGAGGACGAGGAGGCCGCCATTGGTGCTAGCAGCTTGCTTCTTCTTGCTTTGGAAGTGGAGGAGGGAGTATGTGTGTATTTATAGGTGGCCGGCCAGACTGAGTTTGAAAAGTATAAGAGCCAGCGCAATGACAATAATGCCCTTGTTTGTTGGAGAAGAACCATAGACTGAGAATGCTGAGATGGTGCCAACGATTGCCAATTGGAAAGTGCCACCCCATGAAGTTGATTTTCGTGGTGGCTAGCTCTGTCGATGAGCCACTTCACAATCCGTACGAGTATGAACGCGCACCCAACCGAAAATCCAGCTTCATTGACAATGACAGTGGAAATCATGTGTAGGTTACATGCAGCGATAAAGAGTAATACTTTTATTAAAATCATAATCATATTTCTAAATTTGGACTTATTTTTGTTTCTAAATCAACACCGTGACATCTGAAGTTTCTCGCGTAAATTTGCATCTCGCATGAAGCCGACGTCTCCACCAACCATTGTTCACGTAGACGAGCGTCTAGCTGAAACCAATACTCTAGTGTATACCTTGGCAACGATTGCCCAAGATTTGCATTGACTGCCGTGTTTCGTGTTTGTTAGAAGTTGTGTCAGATAGTTCATGCATCTAAATATGTGATGAAAAATCAGTCCACTTTGTCCAAGACAACACATTGGTCATCCAAGATATTATTGCTTGTTCAATGGATATAACTTCGTCAAGAAGTCCATGTTCAATGTGTAGAACTAGTACGAAAGGGACAAGCATGCGCATATGCCCTTGTCGACCGAACATAAGAAAAGATTGTTTTTCTCTCTGAAAATTTGTAAAGGTTATCGCAAATTAAGTATATACGTACATACGTGATTGTGCTATGTTTGTCTAGATATATATATACATATACCGATCCAAAATAGCCTCCTATTTCCGCACTGCATGCCGCCAAATTGTGTCCTTGTGTATCCTTAATTATTATTCTTGATCATGACGAAATCTTTGGCTTGCGAACGACAAGTCCACGAGTCAGCAATCAACCCTATGCAGACCTAGAGATGGTGCTAGTCACCTCACATGTATGCATCAAAAAAAGTCTTTCCTCTCTTTTTCCACGTATGTACGTAAATATCTGCAAACATTAACTTTTCATAGGATGAGCATGTACGTACAAATATATACAATCCGCTCCAAAAAAAAATGTTGAGATGCATATGGCGCATGCATAACTTCATATATCTCTTTTAATTAGTGGTTTATTTCTTATTTACCAAAGATCATCTTCAACAAATAAGGTTCACACACAGGACTTATTTTTATTGAACAGTGAACATATCCTAAAAATCCTAATGTTGGGTACTGTGAACAAAGCGAGGCATGACTTGCTTTAATTTTCTGCCCGATCATAACCAATTACTGTGCAATTCCTTATCTATATCTATCTATCTTTTATAAAGCTAATCCTCACAAAAGTTGTATCTAAACATGTAAGCTATCCACCTCATTTTCTACTAATTACTCACATCATCTCCCACTAATACTCATGTCATCCCACTAACTTTCAACTTCTTAATACAAGGTATCCACATCATCTTTGAAATGGTAGGCTGATTTACCATACCCTACCTTGAATGAATGAATTTCTTATCTGTTGGATTAGTTAATGTTGTTTGCATGATTTGGATAAAAAATTCTTCAAAACAACACCGCACGTCACTACTGGAATCTCGCATTTTTCTGTGTGTGCGAAAACACACAGAAAAATGTGAATACCATCAGAAAAATATTTTTCTGACGGTTCTCAGAAAAATACCCACAGAAATATAATGACAGAACAATTCAATTGTTTTGTGTGTTCGCCGTCAGAAACAATTTTTCTGTGGGTGTTACACGCACAGAAAAATTACGTTAGCCCAGATTAAATTTAAATGTTGTGTGCGTTGATCCTCACAGAAAAAAAGAAAAGCCCGACAGAAAAATGATTTTTCTGTGGGTGTTACACGCACAGAAAAATTGGGTTAGCCCAGATTAAATTTAAATGTTGTGTCGGTCTCGGTTAACGCACAGAAAAATAACAGACCACCGACAGAAAAAAAACCCTTAACCATGCAGCAAATTGGATACAATAATTATATACAAACAGAACAGTAGCAACAACATATTAAATATGGATTGTCCATACTGTAATTTAATCACAACATAATAGATAGCATACATATAAAGATCCAAATGTTCAGCACATTCATTAATGGCATCCGGGTTACATATAGATGATGTCCAAATGGTCCGACATGTTCAACATGAATACTACAACGAATTCACAAATATGGATATCGAAAAAGAAACCAAACTATTTTTTCTTGTTCAACCAATTGTAAACTGCTTCACCTTGCACTCCATCTCTACCAGTAAGAACAGTCAACATGAATACTACAATGATTACACAGGAAAGTAGTCATTTCTGTTTCCTAAAGTATCCAGAAAATGGGAATACAATATGTACCAGCAAAGGGGAGACGAAATCATTGAACTTGTATGTAACTTCCAAAGGCTTTAACTTTTCGATATAAAGTTTTTTCAAGCCATCAATGACAGAAGTAACAGCAGTCATAGGTATATGTTTACATATAACACCATAAAAGGAAAGATCAGCAATAATGATAAATGTGTCATTGACAAAACTAGGGTAAACTGACAACATTTCTTTATATAGGGAAAGGTCTTAAAATTGGCACAAAAATATCTGTGTTGCTTAATAATGCATAATAGAAACACAAGTACTGAGAGCTATGTTGTCTTACAAACATTTTGGTGGATTGTGGGCTTCCTTTTAGACAACTTACATGCACCATATTGTTTCCAAGCTCGTTAACAGACAAGATACAATTAAAATAAATAGTGAACCAGCTACAGAAGCTTACACAAGCTAAACAAGTAAACTTGCTGCCTTTTCCTTTTGCTAATGTAAAAAGACAGATAACTGATCTATCAACATATGCTCACTAATGAGATAACTGATCTGAAACAATGTAACAAAAAAGCCTGAGAGAAGGAACTCACTTGGAACAAAGAGGCATGTCTATTTTACATTTTCCTCCACCACACTATCTTTTGGCCTAAGTCATAGATTTGCTGGTTACATACCTACATGAGAAAATAGAACAAAGAATTAACCAAACAAAACAAATGGTTTTAACAGGCAGTTTGACATGTACCAAACTAGTAACATACATGAGGTGCTATACTAGTCAGCGCTTTCACAAAAATATCCAAATTATTGCTAAGAAATAAAACATTGTTTCAATCTGTAGAAGCATATAGACCATTTTATTTTAGAGAAAGACATATAACCAATAGAAAGAGATAACAACAGTCATAAACGTATAATCCATTTGTCCAAAAATTGAATTACACCAACCAGATCAATGTAATGATTTTGTTTGGGTTAAAGAATTAATAAGTGTTGCCCCTAGCTGCTACAATTTGAATAAGCTGCTGCTACCATTTGCTGCCCCTAGCTGTAATAGCTGAGCAAGATCATCAGCCTATACTCTCAAGTTACATGATGTCATTTTCATCACAGGCTGAAAAGCAAAGATTTTCATCATTTTAATTCGGAGATAGATGCATGCATCATAATAAGAGCACTTAGTTGCAGCCGAAATTAGCATATCTAATTTTTCTCAAAGACACAGTAGCCAGGGCTCAGAAACTAAATATCTTATATGATATAGTGTAGGACAAGGTTAACTGACAGTAGCCGGAGCAAAAGAACAAGAACTATCAAAAGTATGTCAAAAGCACAAGAACTTATATTCCAGATCCATTAGAGAGCAGTATGTCAAAAGCACAAGAACTACATATATTTCACTTGGAGCAAAAGAACAAGAGCAAAAGAAGTCGAGAAATGGTTCAGATTTACCCATTATCAGCATGACAACTGCAACTTAATTTCACCTGGAACTTAATTTAATTCTCTCTCTCTAATGGAAATTGAACTGGCCACAGAACTGGTTGCTTGTACTGGTGCAAGCCATCCTAGTTAAAGCAGCAAACAGAACAAAATATCCCAAGTACGAGCTCATAAGGTGCTAAAGTGCAGAAGTTCTCTAATGGAAACTTGATTCATCACAGCCACTCAAGAGTAGTACAAAACAAAAAAAGTCACAAGGCATAGTTAGGGAAGGAGAGAGCAGCGCGGCACGAGACTAGGGTTTCATATCATCTCAGCTCCACAAATATCACATATCAAAATAATTGATCAGGTTGATATATGCAAGATATTCAAGATACTGTTTTCATAGCATGTCACCTGAAAAGCAACCAGGGTAACAAAACAAACAAGTTAAAATTGTATTTTAACTTTGCAGTAAAATCTTCTTATTATATTGCTCCCTCAAATTCAAATATAATGACATTATTTGAGTGGTCCATCCATATATATTTCTTACATTACAGTAAATTATGTTAGTATAGTTCTACTAGTGATTTTCAAAGATGTCAAGTTACTGATAAAAAACAATGAAGAGCTCCCATTTGGATTTTCAAAGATATATGTTCAAGAAATATTTGATGCACTACTAATCGTAAATTATGTTAGTACAGAAAATTCACATCAGACTGACATCAATTCAAGGTATGGAAAATTCAGAGATAAGCATTTTCTCTACAAAGTTAGGCAGTCCAGTTCCAGCAAAGAATGAAATATGATGCTGATTCATAGCAGTCATTTGCATGAGAGAAAGGAAAAAGAAAGCAGTGCAAGACCTCACATCATCGCAGATCAGAGTCATCTAAATGAAAAGCTGGACAACTTCTCAACAAACCGACTGCACCTTTATCAAGTAGTTACTAGAAAATTTTTAAAGCTCTATCATTGCCCAAGACTACTTATAGACAATCCTAGATTAGTTAATTTTGTGTTCCATCTCTAGCAAGTTTAGTCATTTTTCACTTTAGAAGTTCAATAGACAAAAAATATCTGCACATACAGATAGCTAGTAGCTTGGCATACATCTAATTAAAAGTTAAT